GTGTGTGTGTGTGTGTGTGTGTGTGTGTGTGTGTGTGTGTGTGTCTTTGCGTGTTTCTCTTTGCCACCATTCATCGGTCCTCAGATGGGAGGAGGTGTTGAAGTGTGTGTGTGTGTGATGAATTGGGTTGGGGGGGGATTATGATCTCACTGTTGAGGAATTTGAGTGTGTACGATACCATGGGTCAAACACACACACACACACACACACACACACACACACACACACAGTGGCCTCCACATCCTGTTGTTTACCACTGCAGGTACGTCCTGTGCTGAGTTTTCCATTTTAAATATAAACCTTTTCATGATGTGACTCTATAACACAACTTTACTAAAACAAATAAAAACAATAAAATCAAAAATATAAAAACTAAATATGTCTGTGATGGAGTTACAGGCTCTCCTGGGGGGGTGCGGCCGCGGTGCTTTCGCTGACATCACTGTGACGAGCTGCCTCAGGCATCAACTGTTCTGTTCAGCGCTAAATTGTCGGGTTGGAGGCTGAACGTGTGTTTGAGAGACGGATTCCGTCGTCATGAGAAGTAACAGCTGTTTTTAAGAGAGACAGCAGTCGAGACACAGAGAGAGAGAGTGAACTACAGTTACCTCACACAGAAGTTGTCTCACCTGCAGACAGGGTATGAGCCAGTTGAAGCAAAAGGCTTCTTAAATAAGTGAATGAATTAAAATCAAGTTTAAATATCTGTTTCCGGACAAATAAGTCTTAAGGTTTGTTTTAATTAGTTAATTCAAAGCGTCTTACTCTCATCATGGACGCTCATGATCATGTTTCTACAACGTGTGGGTGTTTTATTTATTTCCTTTTTCACAGGATAATGAACTGTCTGTTTGACGGGTTTGGTGAAGAGCTTATGAGCTTGACTGACCACGGTGCAGGTCGTTGGTGTGGGCTCATTATCTAACTTCCTGTACAAGGGAAGGTGTGCCACGCTGATAAGAAAGGCATTTTGTTCCCTCCCTCATTCACCTTTACACACACGCCCACACACTTTGTACACACACACACACACACACACACACACACACACAC